CAATAAAGTTTTGCCCAGTGCTTGCTCAGGGTCAGAAGTTTCCTCCAGTATTAACTGTGAGAATTTATACAGGGGCTGATTTAGTTTGACATGTATGATCTAGTTCTGTATCTCTCAAGGAAGTTATTTTTCCCCTTCTCCTTACATCCACCCTCAAACATCAAGTACTAAATTGGGTGTTTGCTTCAGATTCCAGTCAGAGAAGGAAACAGGGGATCGGAATTATGCCATCGGCTATTATCTAAAGGAAAAGAAGGTAATCGGGAGTGGCTGGCACAGAAAGTCCTTGGGAATTCTGCAGCTGGTGGAAAAGCACCTGGGGTTGGGGACTTTGGCTGAGATCCTGGCAATGTGACAGATAGGGTCTGCTGATGGCCTGAAAAGAAATGCTCTCCCTTCTTCTTTCTTACAGTGCTTTCCTAAGGGGGTGGACATGATGGCTGCCCTTGATCTCTATTTCCAGGTGAGGAAAGACTTCTGTTTAGCTCCAGGCCAACGGAACAGGACAGACTTCCATCCGTGCTCTGACCCACAAGAGGGATGCTCCTCTTCAGTGGTTCTGGTGTCCTTCAGAAACACCAGGGGGACTTTTTGAAAGATCAGGATGCCAAGAACATTGCTCTACACCCAAGAGCACAGTGTTCACATCCACATTGCACCCTCACCTCTGCCTTGTCTCCATAGCTGTGCTCCGTGGAGGTGACCTGTGAGTCAGGCAGTGTCATGGCAGCCACCCTGGCCAACGGCGGGATCTGCCCCATCACAGGAGAGAGCGTGCTGAGCGCTGAAGCAGTGCGCAACACCCTCAGCCTCATGCACTCCTGCGGCATGTACGACTTCTCAGGCCAGTTTGCCTTCCATGTGAGTGCTACTGGCCCTGCCGTCCATTTGCCACCAGTCCAGAGCCGAGAAGTGAGGACACAGAGTCTCTGAAAGTTGAGGATGGAAGCTTGTTCCTGCCTCTCATTCACTAACTTCCAGCCAGGCAGCTAGGCTGAGAATCCTAGCTGGGACTTTGTCAAACACACCAAGTCCCTCAAACACATCAATACATGATGCTGCAGCTTCTGAGCCACTCTTCTGCTGCTCTTCACGTGCCTGGCACTTCTCTAGGTCTCAGTTTAGATGTCACTTCCTCAGAGAGGCTTTTCTGACCAGCTTGTGTCCTGTAGCCCCCCCCCCCCACTTCATTCTCTATTCCTGCACCCTACTTCATTTGTCCTCTGTTTTCTCTTAAGCTGTGATTATTTTTGTCTGTTGATCACATATCTTCTACCACCAGAATGAAGTCAAATGATACTGTCCTAGTTCTAGGGCAGCATCAGGCACAGCGTAGACACTCAACAAATATTTCCTTACTAAAGCCATTAATTTAAGGGGGAGAGGGCAGGAGAAGAGTAAGAAAAGAAGCTAATTAACAAGCCAAAAGGTTGAGATGGATATGGCTTAGCCTATGCAGTCATTTGGGATAGACTAACTTATTAATCCAGACTTGGAGGCACCTCTAGCTTATCCTCAGTTTCAACTTTATCCCCAAGGTGGGCCTGCCAGCAAAGTCAGCTGTGTCAGGAGCCATTCTCCTAGTAGTACCCAATGTCATGGGAATGATGTGTCTGTCACCTCCACTGGACAAGCTAGGGAACAGCCACAGGGGCATCAGCTTCTGCCAGGTGAGTTACTTTGCATATAGGACTTAATGTTTTTGAATGAGTAAATTAAACAATTTTGACCACCTACTAAGTCAGGGAGTAGGTAAATAATCTCTTTGGCTTATAATTCTAGAAGCTGGTGTCCCTCTTCAATTTCCACAACTATGACAACCTGAGGCACTGTGCTCGGAAGTTAGACCCACGACGTGAAGGGGGAGAAGTTCGGGTAAGGAAAATCCCAGGGTGGCTTATAAGAATATTTCAGAATAGAACATTCCATAATGCTTTAGCAATACTCTTGGCTAAGCATCTTTGTAGAAGGGTCACAGGGCAGAGCTGAGCATGGGTGAGCTCAAAGTCACAGTTAATCTCAGGTGATTATGATTTGTTTTCCAGAACAAGACTGTGGTCAACCTATTATTTGCTGCGTATAGTGGAGATGTCTCAGCCCTTCGAAGGTACCAAATAAACACAGTACTCCTGGTCAGAGATCTCGTTAGCAGTCAACAGAGCAAAATAATTGTTTCAGCTTTAGAGCCACATAGAATGGACACTGCATTTAAATGAGATTATTTTATTTTATTTTTTTTAATTTTTTTTTAAATGTTTTTATTTATTTCTAGGAGAGAGAGAGAGAGACAGCATGAGCAGGGGAGGGTCAGAGAGAGAGGGAGTCACAGACTGAAACAGGCTCCAGGCTCTGAGCTGGCAGTCAGCACAGAGCCCGACGAGGGGCCCGAACCCACGAACCGCGAGATCATGACCTAAGCGAAAGTCGGACGCTTAACCGACCAAGCCACCCAGGCGCCCCTAAATGAGATTATTTTAGAGGTGCCTGGATGGCCAGTTGGTTAAGTGTCCAACTTCGGCTTAGGTCACAATCTCGTGGTTTGTGAGTTCGAGCCACCTTGTGCTGACAGTTCAGAGCCTAGAGCCTGCTTCAAATTCTGTGTCTCCCTCTCTCTGTCCCCTCCACTGTTCATGCTCTGTTTCTCTCTCTCAAAAAAATAAAAAACACTAAAAAATTTTTTTAATGAGATTATTTTAAGTACAGTGACTGCCATGTGATAAGAATTTAATTATCGGTAGTCACTGTTAGGATTAACCTGGGTGTTAAGAGCAGAATCCTAGGAAGTAATGAAGGACCCCGCTGCAAGTAGATCACCAACATCAACAAACATACAGGCAGAGATGTTTCTGGAAACATCACGCCCCTGTGTGATTTGGGAGTAACAGTCTCATCTGGGTATAGAACATGATTATGCAGTGTCTACAGATCTGAGCATAAGCTCTGTTTTACTTTTTCTAAAATCCATCCAGTCTGATCCCATTTCAGAAAAGACACTGGTGATTCTAGGCTGATCTGGGTAACTTTGGCTATTTTCCACCACCCGCAGGTTTGCCTTATCAGCCATGGACATGGAACAGAAAGATTATGACTCCCGCACAGCCCTTCATGTTGCTGCAGCTGAAGGTATCTAAAGGTTAAATAAAAGGGGAAGCAAATCTTAAGACCTTTTCTTTTTTCTTTTTTTATATTTTATTTTTTTTCTCTCTCTTTTTTTAAGTAAACTCTACTCCCAATGTGGGTCTCGAACTCATAACCTTGGGACCAACAGTCACATGCTCTACTGACTGAGCCAGCCAGGCACACCCTAAGACCCTTTCTTTTCTTTTCTTTTTTTTTTTTAAATGTTTTATTTATTTCTAGGAGAGAGAGAGAGAGATAGCGTGAGCAGGGGAGGGTCAGAGAGAGAGGGAGTCAGACTGAAATAGGCTCCAGGTTCTGAGCTGGCTGTCAGCACAGAGCCCAACGCGGGGCTTGAACCCACGAACCGCAAGACCATGACCTAAGCAAAAGTCAGACGATTAACCGACTAAGCCACCCAGGCGCCCCAAGACCCTTTCCTTTCTAACAAGAGTAATCCCTATTGTATATGCCCTTAAAGTTACAAGGGCAGCAACTAGTTTTGTCCAGATGCTCTGCAGTTTCTAGGCCAACTATTATTGGGTGCTGCAGGGAGCAAAATGGGAAGAGGCCTTTCCCATTTTGTTTCAGACTCCAGCTGCCAAAAGTCTGCCTAATGTTAACACCAAAAGGTTCAGGATCTGTGCCATCTCATTTTCCTTCTGCCCATATTCCTAGGACACATCGAAGTTGTTAAATTCCTGATTGAGGCTTGCAAAGTGAATCCTTTTGTCAAGGACCGGTGAGTAGGATTAAGGTAAAAGGGGGGCTGGGCAGCAGGTTTTCTCCCACTGCCCCCCAGCCACCACAGTCATGTATTTAACCATAGCACTCTTGATGTCTTTTTTTTTTGTCTGATCATGGGCTTTGTTGCTTTTAGGTGGGGCAACATTCCCCTGGATGATGCTGTACAGTTCAACCACCTGGAGGTGGTGAAACTGCTTCAGGATTACCAGGACTCCTACACACCATCTGAGACTCAGGCCGAGGCAGTGGCCGAGGCCCTGTCCAAGGAGAACTTAGAGAGCATGGTGTGAGCATAGGGTGCACACACAGTTCCTGCTCGAGAAAAAGCATGAGCTGGCCACACACTTAACCCATAACCACCAAACATGCTATGGAGAGCCGCACTGCTTTGCTTCAGTGGGGACCAAGACTTAGGCTACTGCTTTCTATGAGAGTGAAAATACCCCATTCCCTTGGCAAACAGTATAGAGAAGTGCCTTGGTGGACACATGCAGTAGAGCAATACATGGGAGACTGACTTTCTTTGAGGTACAGCCTAATGATTTATCCCACTCAAAATCATCCCAGATCTTCACCCAGGTCCCCTCTTCCTCTCCCTAAAAAAAACCCATCATGAGAGAGACAGAGATACTCTGGTAAAGGAGCCCTAGCCACCATGCACAGGTATATATCCACAGAGGAAGTGGGACGCTATGCCCCAGGCTTTAATAGTCTGGATAGGTCTGCCCTCCTTGGCCAGAAAGTACTGCTGCTACTGCTAATTTTTTAGACAGAGAAAGTATTTTGTGATCAAATAAACTTTAATTACACAAATTATTATATTTGTTAAACCCAGTCCTTTCTCTCCCACAGGGGCATTCAGCTGCATCACCATCATAAAGGTAGAATAAGAAAGAACCACAAAGACAGAGCCCAAACAATACATATTTCACATACATACTCATCCCACTACGTTTTCTTCAACCCTAAATATTACTCTAGGTTAACTGTATCCTGTTGCCAGAGGGGGTGGGAGAAGAGTGGGCGGTAACATGTGAGGGTTTCCGTCTGAGCAGGCCCAAAAATGGATTGTGCAAGATCTCAGGGCTCCCTCCTCCCTCTGGAAGTTCCAGCTGTGGCACAAGTATCTTGTCTCCTTTTATCATGGTTGTAACTGGCCCAATGATTATAACAGATTGACCAGATGTCAGGGATGTGCAGATCAAGGCAGATGGACTCTAGGTGGTGATAGCTGCAGCTGTGTGGGGCTGAAAGTCTGGCACTGAGGTACTGGGGAAGGAGGGCTCTGTTTCATTTGGACACAGAAAAGCACTTCCTGAGGGAACCAGAGCCAAGACTCTGTATGTGCGACAGGGAAAGGTCCAGGACATTGACTGTACCACTCCTCCAGCCAGAGGTAGAAAGGATTTACTCTGGAGAGATCCTGTAGAGCCCCAAGGGGGAAAGGGGAAGAAGAGGACATTACATGGGAGCAAAGGGAGGCGGAGGTATCACAGTGATGAATAAATTCAGTTGAAAGATAAGACCCCAGAACTGAATGCAGTCTGAGAAGGTCTGGGCACAGGGAGGAAGAGGGACTGAAGGAAGCCAGTCAGGTTAAGGATACTCAGGGTAGCCTAGGAAACTGGTGGTAGATTGGGGGAGGGGAGAGGGTGGCTGTATGCCCAGTCTTCACAGGGTAGGGTAGAGGAAAAAGACTGAGACATTACATAGAGGACTGAATTGCCAGAGTTAGAGGTTGCTTGGCGGCAAAATTAAAAGGTTTCAGGCAGTTTCACCAGGAGGCTACCCAAGAAAGAGCATGATTAAGGACTCCAGTGAAGGACATGCTAGAGGCCTTTAGGCACTTCAAGCCCCGAGTGGGTCAGCAGCTCTCCATCCCAAAGGGCAAAGGCAGGTACCACTGGACCTTGGAAATCTGTCTGTAGCGTGTGGACCACAGCGACTCTGCTCACATCCACCAGACTCAGCTTTTGCGCCTCATACTCCAGCAGCAGCCCCACCTTCTCTGGCTGCCCCATGCCCTCAATAGGGGCTTTTTCGTTGGCCAACATGGTGTGCCACTTGCGCTGGGCATACGTGAACACCCAGGAACGATCGTCAACACCGATGCAACTATCCCGGGACATATCCACATCGGCCACTCCTATCCGGAATTGCTGGGAGCGCTTCACTGTCACTTCCCAGTAGTGCCTGCCACTGGTGACCGCTGTGTCTGCCAGCACTACGGCCCATTCCCGGAAACGCTCCACGTTCAGGGCCAACTTGGTGGGCTCCAATCCTACTATGCCGTACTTGACACCTGTGTCACCTTTGAAGAGTGCCAGGCTGCTGTGGGCGGTTTTTTCTTCCAGTTTGAAACTGATGCCTGTGAGCAGAGCAAAGAGATTAGATGATGACGGGCGCTAACACCCTAGATCTGGCGATATATACGTATTAGAGCTGAAGCAGGCAGTCATGCACTCATGAGGAAACAGGAAAGAGAATGTCACGCGGGCAAGAGTGAGGCATTTCAATACGGGCTTTCAGACTGGGAAGCCTCGGCATAAAAACAAACAAAACCCAACAGACAGTGTCTCAGGTTTGGACTTTCAAGACCAACGCAGATCGGGAAGGGGAAATGATCTAAGGGGACTCCCGTGAATAAGAGAAGCCATTTTGGAGGTAAAAAAGAGTAAAAAGAAATAATCCTACCTCTGCGGGCTTCCGCGACGGCAACCCCTAGTCGTTTGGCTCCCCGGCGGCACAAGCACAGCGAACGTGCAAAAGGCAGCGCCATCTTGCGCCAGGGCTGAATAGGGCACGCCCTCTGGCCTGAGACCCCGCCATGTGCCCGCCGGCTCCTTTCCGACGTGGTGCACAAAAGGCAGCCGCGCAGTGTGATGACGTAAGGGAGCCAGCGTCCAGCAGGGGAGCCGCCATCTTAGTGAGTTGTGTTCTAGGTCGCGGGCGCTTCTTACGGTTTATTTCGTTTTTTCCCCGGGAATGCTGCTCACATTTTTACGAAGTAGGACCTTTAAAAAGATGGTGTAGCAAGATATCAAAACGTATAGATTTTAGAATTAAACAGTAATGGGACTCAAACCCAGCTCCTCTGTGTGACCTTGGGCAAATCACTTATCTGAGTTTTTAAGTGTTCTCATTTGTAAAAACCCTTTTGACCTTGGCAAAAATTAAATGAGAGAATAACTTAGACTACAACTTGACAAACAACAACCACTAAGTTATGTAGCAGGTTATTTTAAATAATATGTAAATACTGTAAACGTTGGTTTTCTATGTTCAGAGTTACTGGAGAAGGACTCAAAACCCCACCCCATGTTTCTTTCCTGATTTGTAGATTTGTATATCCAACAACCTATTAGAGATTTCTACTTGGATGTACCCCGATCCCACCCCGCCAGTGACCTTGAACTTCCTTTAGGTCTTCCCTATCTAAAGGGAAGTATCTAAAACTTCCTTCGTCTTCCCTACACAGGCTTCTCCGCATAGGTTCCCTGACCCTGTGAACTGGCAACCCATACCAGCCAGTTGCCCGAGCCAGAAACATAGAAGCCCTTGATTTCTTTGCCTCCCTCATCTCATATATATGATTATCGTTGAGTCCCCATCACATTTCTCCCCTGGACTACTGCATTAGCCTTGTGACTGGACTCCCATTCTCCCCAGTTCTGCGGCGAAGGGAACGTTTAAAGAGGCAGACACTTACCTCACCCATTAGGTTCTTAAGAATGGGAATTAAGAATGGTTTATTAATAATTCTTGGGAATGGTGATTAAGCCCTTTTTTCTCTGTGACTTAAGGCCTCACTTTTACCCTTGACACAGACTAAGTACTGTTGTTTTTGAATTAGAAAATGAATGAGGATAAACGGAGAAAGTAGTGCAGTGGCTGGCTCATTCTCTCCACCAGGGGTCAGCCTGGTCCAGCCTTCACATCGTGCCTAACGTATATGAGAAGAGAGGTTTCTATTCCTCATAAGCCTAGGAGCGACGGCATGGAGGAGAGAATTCCTTCTCAAAAGTCTTGCTCTCTCAGTACTTTGCATTTTGGGGGTAATAAGAAATTTCCTGAGCTCTGTTTCTGTGGTGTTTCTCTTTAGGTTCCATCCTAGATGTGAGAGCTGAAGCAATCACTGCAGAATCCTCATACTGTCACTTAGATACACCTCTGTTACTTTATTTCCTGCTCAGGATATAACTTCTTGCCTGTCATCTCTTATTTTACTTTCACAGACTGACCAGCTATCTGATAAACTTACCTTAATCACTGAGATGATTTACCTACCTCGTTGCTAATGTACAAGTAATTAATTCTTAACGTTTTCATGCATAATAATGAAGAAGTGATAGAGTTGCGCTTGACATACGAAAGGGGAAAAGACATTCAAGGTATAGGGAACAACTTCTGCTAAAGCACTGGGTAATGAAACAGAATGAGGTATTTAAGGAGGCACAAAAAGCACAAAATTGCCAAGGCCTCATGCTGGAGAGAGATGAAGAACAGTTGGAAAAGTTAAGGCTGAATTGTGAGGAGTTCTGCATTCATAGTAATGTATTTTTAATTTAATGTTTATTTATTTATTTTGAGTGAGGGAGAAAAAGAATCGCAAGCAGACTCCGCACTGCCAGTGCAGAGCCTGACTCAGGGCTTGATCTCAGGAACCGTGAGATCATGACCTGATCCAGAAATAAGAGTTAGACGCTTAACCTCAGATACTTACCTGACTGAACTACCCAGGTTCCCCCATAGTAATGTCTTTCAAGCATTCAGGAGCTGTTGAAGGGACACAGGGAAATGACAAATTACAGGTGCTTTTATAAAGATAAAGCTGACAGCAACATAAAGAATAAATTGGAGAGGAAATGAGACCAGAAACAGGGCCAAACAGGGTCTAGAGTTTTCAGGTGAGATGTGGTGTGGGTTAGGTCACCTGAAAGATAGAATTGGTAGAGTTCTGGTGACTAGTTAGGTGAGAGTGAGGATAGGGAAAGGAGTCAAAGCTATTCATAGGTTTCTGATTTAATGATTGGCTGCAGGAAGAAAAGCATGTTTGAATGAAGGGAAGAGAATGCATTCTGTTTCAGACAGGTTGTATTTGAGGTGTCTGTGGGACACCCAGGTGAAAATGTTCTGTAAATATATAGATATAAATTGGGGTACCTGGGTGGCTCAGTCAATTAAGCATCTGACTTCAGCTCAGGTCATGATCTCACTGTCAGTGAGTTCGAGCCCCATATCTGACTCTGTGCTGACAGCACAGAGCCTGGAGCCTGCTTTTGATTCTGTGTTTCCTCCTCTGTCTGCCCCTCTCCCACTCATGCTCTGTCTCTGTCTTTCTGTCTCTCTGTCTCTCTCAATAATAAATATATATGTGTATATATATAGATAGATAGATAGATAGATATAAGTTTTGAGGGAGAGAGGTGCCTGGGTGGCACAGTTGGTTAAGTGTCCAGCTCTTGATTTCGGCTCAGGTCATGATCTTGCAGTTCAAGAGTTTGAGCCCTGCAACAGACTCTGGGTGGATGATGCAGAGCCTGCTTGGGATTCTGTCTTTCCTCTCTGCCCCTCCCCAGCTTGTGCACATGTGTGCGTACACTCTCTCTCTCCTCAAAGGAAATAAACTTTTAAAATTTTTTAAAAATTAAAAGAATACATTTAGAGTGAGAGTAGACATAGGTGAAGTCATTCAAGGAAAGGATGTCACTAGAATAAGTAGGGAATAAGCTGATAGTGCAATCCTAGGGGAAACCAGTATGTGAGATAACGCATATACTGTTAAGTACTTAGAATAGAACCTAATCATAGTGAGCACTGGTCTCCTTGACTTGGAGTTGTGTCTGACTCCCTAGAAAAGAAGGGGAGAAAGAGACAAGTTCAGGATGTTTCAGTCTGTTTTCATTCTGTTTCTTGGATTACCCCATTTCTAATATCTGGGAGCTCTCACCTGATCCAAGTGCTAATTGGAGCCCTTAACTATGGATGGGAGACGGATGATGCACAGAGCTTGGTGATTGTTCTGGACTTTGCCAGGAGTCAGCAGTCAGCAAAGCATAACCAGAGAAAGAGAGAGAAGGGGGGCCCTCAGGAGCTAGCCAAAGGGGCTGCTAGTCTGGCTTGTGCTATGCTGGGGCCTTTGTCCTATGAAACTATCCACACAATGGAGCTGGGTTACATGCTGATCTGGCATTCTGAATATGGGGCTGGGATAGAGATTCCACGTGGTAGATAGAGAGATGGAGGTTCACCCAACCCCTCAGGACCATATCTCAATTCACATTGTAATTGCCAGAGAGGGTGTTCAATACTTGACAATCATAAAGTATGTTTATATCTGATTAATTCAGGAATCAGTTCATTTATATATACATATATAATTTTTTTTAATTTTTAAAAAATTTTTATTTATTTCTGAGAGAGACAGCATGAGCAGGGGAGGGTCAGAAAAAGGGAGATACAGAATCTGAAACAGGCTCCAGGCTCTGAGCTAGCTGTCCGCACAGAGCCTGATGCGGGGCTCGAACCCACAAGCCATGAAATCATGACCTGAGCCGAAGTCGGACGCCCAACCGACTGAGCCACCCAGGAGCCCCAGTTCATTTATATTTTAAGGCAGCTAACTTAATGTGTATATTGCCTGGGTATATCTCACTAATCCTCATACAATCCTGTTAGATCAGCAGGTTAGATTTTTTTTTTCAAGTTTATTTATTTATTTTTGAGAGAGAGACGGAGTGAGCAGGGGAGGGGCAAAGAGAGAGGGAGACACAATCCCAAGCAGGCTCTGCACTGTCAGCACAGAGCCCAACATGGAGCTCAAACTCACAAACAGATCATGACCTGAGCCAAAACCAAGAGTCAAATACTTAATCAACTGAGCCACCCAGGCACCCCAACAGGTTAGATATTTTTATGAAATCCAGATCTAGGTTATTCTTTAGGTCTTGATCATATGGGCTGGCCAAGGAGTAGCTTCAGAGAGGTAGTAAACTGTTCCTGGATAACCTCAGAGGCGGGTATGGTAATTACATGAAACCCCTGTGGAGAAATGATACAAGACAAATAGCTCTGCCTGCAGATTCATTGAGATTTATAGATGCACTCACTCCCTAATATTATTGATTATACTTCCTATGGTACCTCTAGAAAACTGAGAAATGGAGCCTTCTTTATTGAAGAGGGTATAGTAAACTTGGGATCCCTAGCCCCAGGAATATAAAGAGGTTGGAAGGCTGATTGTTAGTAACCAAGAAATATCTCAGTCTACTGTAGAGATAGTTGAGACTCCAGGATGGTCACTACTACAAGATGATCACTACTTTAAAATAACTTTGTAACTACTACAAGTTTGTTATTTTATAAATCCATTTTCTCCACTTCCATAGTTCTTAGTAGGAAAAAATTTTTTAAATGTTAGTATGCTTATTTAAGGCCAGAAGAGAGAAAGGCGGAGAGTCTAGAATTAAAAACTCTGGCACCCCCTGAAAAGAACCCCAAATACAAGAATAAAGTAGAGTAATAGCAAAAAAAAAAAAAAAGTGAACAAGCTAACCAGAAAAGAAGACAAAGACAACTTAGCATCTGTCCTGGGTGATCCCAAGAGTGTTGTATTCCAGGAATCCCCTTCACTCCCAGGCATTTTTCCTCAAAGGAACTTTCCTTTGCAGATTCCAGTGTCACTAGAATAAGACCTGGTTGCCAGTTCAGCCTTGGTACCTTCTTGCTGGCTTGCTCTGTTTCTGGTGAGGAATGGAAATATCCTTACCCTGCCTTCCCTGGAATTCTCACTGTCTTCCAGATCCTCTTAGCTTTCCTCTTTACCTTTC